TGTTTATGTCCATGTTCAGAATTCTCATATCTAGAAAAAACATGATATAATGAACAGAAGTATTGCAAAGCAGTTTCACAGAGAGGTATTTAGCTAGTGAGTTAGCTTACCGATCCATGAGAAAAATAGCCATATTCGTGTCTGTTTGGATGCTGTGAAAATTCTTTATTTGGGTCCATCTGGTGTATGCTTCTCCCAAACTCACTCGGGTTTCCGATCTTTGCTGGTCACTCCTTTTCTGAGATGAACTACGAGGTCCTTTGGGCTGAGGAGCAGCTGGTTGACTGGTCGTGTCGTGTCCGTTTAAAATGATGACTTTAGTTGTCAATGGCAGTGAATGAGTTAACTTCTCAGTATTGGGCTTTATTTTTTTTTAGCTTGGCCTGACATCATTCTGACGTCCACTCAAATGTTTCGGTTGTCATCCACTGAGAGACAAACTTGGATTCCTTACCAATCTGTCTTGCTCCTCCTGAGGGTGGATTCTCATGATGATGGTGAGCCTTTTATGGAGCTCTGAAGCTGACCAAAACTGCTGCTACTTGCTGGCAATTTCTCAGTGACAGCTAACGGACATTTGTATACAAATAACAGAATTCTGAGGTGCAGAGGATTATTCTGGGGGCTGCAACCAGCAGCCGGGATAACAACGGCAAACCCCCCAAGCCCAGTCGCAGCCGCCCACCCTCCAGCTGCCTGCCTGGCTTTGTTGCTTTTGGGGCGACGGTGGCACAGGAGTTAAGGGCTCACCCCGTTATCAGAAGGTTGCAGGTTCAAGTTCCACTCAGGGCAGTCATTGTGCCTTTCGGCAAGACACTTAAACCTCCTTGCCTGCTGGTGGTGTTCGGAGGGACCACTAGTGCCTGTGTACGGTAGATTTGCCTACAATGTAGCTCATCACCACCAGGGTGTGAATGTGTGTGTGAATGGGTGAATGACTGTGTTGTAAAGTGCCTTGGGGGGTTCCAGGACTCTAGAAGGCGCAATACCAAGTACAGGCCAATTACCATTTATTTTATATAGTGCCTCTCAATATTAAAATCATCAGGTGCTTCACTAGAACAAAAATAAATAACATAAAAATATTTGAAGAATGATTAAAAAATATCATAAAAATTAGAAAGAAAAATTTGCGATTAAAATATGTAAGGACAGGGAGAGAGAAAGTGAATAAGATTGAGGTGATCAGTGGATCCTGGGAAAGTTGGAATTGGAGTGTAAGTGATGATGGTCACTCAAAAGCCTGAACAGGTTTAAAGGAGACCACTGAGTCAACTGATCTCAGGCTCAGTGGGACAGAGGTCCAGAGTCGGGGTCCACAGCAGCAGATGATCACCTTTGGTGACCCTAAAGCCTGATTCATGCTTCTCCGTAAGCTCCGCAAGGGACAGACACGCACGGACTGACGGAAGCGTTTTGCTCTCACACTTCTCCGTCTCCTGGAGAGTGTTGCAAAGCAATTCCCCGGCAGGACAACAGAGGGCGTAGCGCTGTTCTGTGGTATCCTGTCATGTATCGGTCCAAGATAGTGCGTTTATATTGTGTTTTTTGTGTATATAAGAGAATTTTAATACGGACAAATTTGTCTCTCATTCTCCTCCAGTTCTTCATGCGCTCCCCAGCTCTAAACCCACGTTTCCTGTCATTTCCGTCCACAAATAAAACGCTTGCTGTGCATCTTTTCACTCCTCCAGTCACGGGGAATTAAACGTTCATATTTTTAGAATTTTTTCGCGAGGTATTCTTCAAGCTTCTCCGTGTCTGCCGCTAGTTATCCTCGGCTCTCTTTATGTTTTTGAGGGCGCACTGGCGGAGCTGTAAACAGCGGCGTCCTGACCAATCACAAGCTTGCGTAATCCGTCTCGTTCGACGGATATTTAAAAAAGAGAGCTCGACTCCGTGCGTACTTGCGTGCCTGCCGGAGCCCTACGCGAGGACGGATAATGGCGATGCGTGTCTCCGCACTGACGCAGACGGAGAAGCATAAATCAGGCTTAACACCAACCCATTCAAATGAAAACTGGAGAAGCGAGTAACGTGGGCTCCGACCCTCGAAAAGTTCAGATCAGGGGTGTTTCTTGTACCTTGAAACATTGGGGGCTGAGCCCAGACCCTAGAGGAACCCAAGGGAACTTGCACTGTAAAATGTGCTATTTATTATAGCTTTGTTGAGCATTGCGACACCTTGTTTAAAGACGATCGCTGCAATATGGTCTTCAAAATTATTTATTTTCACACACATAAAAACTGGCAAAACATCACGTTTTACTTTCTAAGAACACCAGGAGCTGAAAATTTTAGTTTTTCTGTTGGTTTAAAAAAAAGTGTGAAGTCCTGCTATTTCTTTCCTTTTCCTTGTTTCTTTTTCTTTTCCATATTAGCTCCTTGCCATGCTGGCATTGAGTACTCATACATCTTCTATATAGTCTTTGCATAAATATGTTTATAGACATATGCTTAAATGTTGTAAACCAAGTTGCCTAAAATGCTTTTTTTTTTTTTTGGTTGCCAACCATGCGCTATGGAAAGCAATGATGTTTCATTTGCTGTGGTCCTGGGTCTGCAGTTCTCAAATCACTCACTTCAGTTGAGATGCAAACTGTTGCTTCTTGTGTGTGGTGGTCTTCCTCATTGTACCATACCATACCAACTTTATTTCTGTAGCACAATTTAAGACACAGCTTGAGAGCTGGCCAAAGTGCTGAACAGGCAGGATCAATTAAAACAAAAAAGAAAAAACAATAAGAAAATAAAACACAATAATAAAAACTATAAAATCATAATACGATAACATGAATCACTGTCTAAAAGCCAAGTCATAAAAGTAGGTTTTTAAACAGGCAGAGAGGATGCCAGCCTAACTGTAATGGGCAGTGAGTTCCAGAGCATGGGGGCAGCATGGACAAATGCACGTTCACCTCGTGATTTGTAGGACATCTGAGGAGTGCAAAGCAGTAGACGGTCAGCTGACCTCGACATACGAGTAGGTACATATGGAGTCATTAGGTCGGACGGGTAATTAGGAGCTAGGTTGTGTAGGGCTTTAAAAACAACAATGTCTTAAAATGCACACAAACTGTGATGGGGAGCCAGTGTAGAAGTCCAGTTCTGGTGTAATACGTTAAAAACCTAGCAGCGGCATTTTGGACAACCTGCAGCCGGTTCAGGGCAGAGACAGGAGTTCCAACTAATAATTCATTAACGTAGTCCAAGCAAGAGGTGACGAAAGCGTGGATGACTGATTCCAAGTGCTTCCTCTTTAAGATCGGTCTTAAAGTCATTTTCATCTCCTTGTGCTTGGTTTCTGCCATTGTCCTCTCAGTGCTTGTCCTTTCCAGGTCATCTGTGAACAGAGCATAATATCAGATTTATTTGATCACAGTAGGTTATTGAAAAAGGTAATCATAAACGGAAACATTATTACATGACCTATCAGTCATATAAGATTTATTCTTGTTTGGATGACGTGATTACCAGGACAAATCAGATGAACCGACTGGAACCTCGGCCACAGTGATTAGTTGTTTGTTTGTGTTTACAACAAGCCATTCCATTGGAGGACCGTGAGGTGTTGTGGAAAAAGTTGTTAGTGTGAGTGGGTGTTATAGTGGGAAAATGATGTCATCTCTGGTCTTCTGTAACTTCTCAAAATGCTTTTCCATCTTCCCGGTCCGTTATTTTCCTGACACTGCTGCTGGAGTCACCTCTGCTCCGTGCACTGTTTGAAATCCTCAAACTCCCATATAGGAAAACAATTGAATTCATAAAACAGCAGTCAACATGTTAAGTAACAAAGCAGCTGCGAGTTTAAGATGGTCTCTAAGCCCGGTTTCACACTGGAACCATCGGCGGTGCAAACCGGCAGTGGAACGGTTTACTCACCAACGTCAAAGCGCTCCTTTTCACACCAGGAGAGTCTTGGCAGTGGCACGGCTTCCTCTCTGTGCTCTTCCCTGGACTCGGGTTTACTCAATCCTTCGAGACTTCAGGTCACGGTTCGTTGATGCAATCCGCCATTAAACCAAGAATTAGTAATTCATGTGTGATATCGCTGTTTGATGTCATATATGATGTTGTTCATTTCCACAGCCAGGATTAAAGCCATGAAAAGCACAGCTGCACTTCTGGAATGGTGCTGTGAGTAACAAAAAAGCATCAGATCACACAAGCTTCATATGAAATTGCATCACTGCCGTACGTTTATTTTGAAAATTACCGGGGATTTCCTGTTAAACCCTATGTTAACAGTGGAATTTGACGTGCCCCCGAAGCGGCTCGCAGCAACAATAGAGCTCGATCCCATCTGGGACACGCCTGGAAATGACTTTGTTGCTGCTGGTTTGAAACGGTCCGTAGACTGTGTTGCATCCCATTTGAAGCAGTGACGTTCTGCTGCCGTTCCGCGCCGCTGATGCTTTCGGTGTGAAACCCGGGTAAAGCTGACAACAAGCTAGCCTAGCATTAGCACCATTCTGCCAATTACCAGCTCGTTTTTTCACTCAGCTAACTTTTAGTTCACATTTTACTTTTAATTCACACTAAATATACAGCTGTAGCGTTTTGAAACGCCAAAGAGAAACCTTACCTATCTAGGTAAAATAAACTTTCTCATCACATAAGAACAAAAACAGAAAACAAACGTATTCAGGAATTAGAAGAAATCATTAAGACCTCCCCAGAAGAAATACAGAGCAAAATGCTTAAAGGTAAACTAGAACTTCAGGGAATGACTGACAAAAACCACAATTTTTGGTACAAAGATTACAAATAGAAAACTTTGAGCTCAGTAATACATCAGGTAAATTCTTAGCTAATATGTTACAAAGGAACAAAGACAACCTGCTATAGCTGCTGCTAAAGACTCAAATGGGAGTTTAGTATATGATCCTGGAAGAATTAGTAAATCATGCCTTCATTGCAGCACACTGAATAAATGATCATGTTTTGTCTTCTATACTCCCATTACCACTCATCCTGCACCCATGTGAATATTTCCTCAGGTGTTCTTGGGGCCAAATGGTGAAGTGGAGGAGTACTCTGTGGTCTCCATCCAGCAGAACACAGCCATCAACTCTGATCTCATTCTGGACCAGAACGAAGAGCATATCTTCATAATGACACGTAACATGGTACACCACCAAATGGAATCAGCAATGTAGCTCCTCCAGTCCTTCTGCAACATCTTTATTTTCTGAATAGCTTTAGCTGGTCTGTCAAAATAATGCTAAATAATCTACTTCTATCTTCTTCTGGACCAGCTCTATACCCTTAGCGGGTCTTGGAGGGTGCGAGGGAGTTCACCCAACCAATCTACATGTGCTTTGTGGATTTGGAGAAGGCATTTCACTGCTTCCCTCGGGGGGCCCTGTGGGGGGTACTTAGGGAGTATGGGGGGCCAGGCCCTCTGATACGGACTGTTAGGTCCCTGTATGACCGATGTCAGAGCTTGATCTGTATTGCCGGCAGTAAGTCGAGCTTGTTTCCGGTGAGAGTTGGACTCCGCCAAGGCTGCCCTTTGTCACCGATTCTGTTCATAACCTTTATGGACAGGATTTCTAGGTGCAGCGAAGGTGTGGAGGGCATCCGTTTTGGTGGCCTGTGCATCTCTGCTTTTTGCAGATGATGTGGTCCTGGTGGCTTCATCAGAACGTGATCTCCAGCTTTCACTGGAGCGGTTCACAGCAGAGTGTGAAGCAGCTGGGATGAGAATCAGCTCCTCTAAATCTGAGACCATGGTCCTGAGTAGGAAAAGGGTAGAGTGCCTTCTCCGGGTCAGGGATGAGGTCCTGCCCCAAGTGGAGGAGTTTTAGTATCTCTGGGTCTTGTTCACGAGTGAAGGAAAGATGGAGCGTGAGATCGATAGGCGGATTGGTGCTGCATCTGCAGTGATGCGGGCGTTGTACCGGTCTGTCGTGGTGAAGAGAGAGCTGAGTCAGAAGGCAAAGCTCTCGATTTACCGGTCGATCTACGTTCCACCCTCACCTATGGTCATGAGCTTTGGGTAGTGACCGAAAGAACGAGATCATGGATACAAGCGGCCGAAATGAGTTTTCTCTGCAGGGTGGCTGGGCTCTCCCTTAGAGATAGGGTGAGAAGCTCGGTCATCTGGGAGGGGCTCGGAGTAGACCCGCTGCTCCTCCACATCAGAGCACGTCCAACCGGGAGAAGACCTAAAGGGAGACCCAGGACACACTGGAGGGACCATGTCTCTCAGTTGGCCAGGGAACTCCTTGGGATTACCCTGGAAGAGCTGGTCCAAGTGGCTGTGGAGAGGAAAGTCTGGGCCTCTCAACTGAGGCTGCTGCCCCCGCGACCTGGCTCTGGATAAGCAGAAGAAAATGGATGGATGGATGATTCCAGTCAGCCATTGTGTAGCCAGAATCATTCCAACAACTATGTGTTTTTACTGTTGCAAAGATAAATGTGGGACATCAATGCTTTGTGGTGTGGTTCTTAGGAACAGATTGTGGTTTTTTTGCATGATTGAATGATTGTTTTGTCCTGTTGCAGCTACAGAAGAGGCCTGTGGCCGAATGCCAGCAACAACTTGATTGCCATTCCTGTCTGATGGCCCATGATCCTTACTGTGGCTGGTGTGTCCTAGAGGGAAGGTGAGATTCGGATCAGAACACATTAGACCTCTCCCTGTTTGTAGTAAGAATACTAAATACTAGTCATATTTTGAAGGTGTCGTTGATTCAAAACGACATTTACCTTGTGGTTTCAAATAGGCAGCTTGGGGCGTCTAATGGCACTTCCTCACTAGAGTCGGCTCCACTCCGCCCAGCCCAAACCAGGATCGTTACTCATGACAAAGATTGCATGAGGTGATTAATAAACAGTGTGAAGAGATCTGATATTGCATCCAGACTGCTGTGTCTATCCTTGTACAGCTGAACCTCAGAGAGAGAATCAGACACTCTCTGTGTGCTAACAGCAGACAGAAAGCTTCAGTCAGAGGCTTCTCCCCTCCTCAGTAACCAGCATCAAAATGAACCGCGTATTCGGAAAGACCCCGCAGTCTGATTCTATCTGCCAAAATTGGAGGCTCCCCCTAATGGTAGCTGTTAATTTGAGCCTGCGAATTAGTCAGCAGTGGGTGTGTTGAACCAATTCAGCACGCAGCAGACCAGTTGGTAGGAGGGCTGGAAAAATGACTGATTGCGCGTGGGAAAATCCAAGGTGCCCATATTAAAACACTCCAAACCAGTCCAGGCGGAGTAGAACCGATGCTAGTGTGTAAGTTCCTGAAGTACCAAAACGCCTGTGCCATGTCTGCCGTGGTTTAATGGTAATATTAAAACGGCCACGAAGAAAGGATTCTTCAGCATGAGCTTCACAACACCACCTTTCATTTGCCTGTCCCGTCCCACTTCACTGTTGGCAATGTATAAATGTTGCTAACAGTAATCAAAGAACAACCCTAACCCAAGTTACTGGTAAAGTCCTTGTTGGAGAAATAAAGAAGTATGTCGGAGCACACTTATCAGTGTTTACGAATATTGTGTAAAGGCTCTGAAGGAGGACCTGTAAAGACAGCTGAAGACGTCTTAATAATTTTATTTAACAGTCAAGGTGGATGTTACTGCAGTAATCCAGAGGAAAAGGTAGGGGCTTGGTCGGAATGAGGTGTGGATCAGAACCAAGCCCCCACAATGCGGCTCAAAAATTGAGTCCAACCCGGAAGGACCAAAAGTTGCAGTTCCACCCTCATCCACTAGGGGCTGGTGTCAGAAACGACTCCCATGTTAAAAACACCAATTTCACAGCAGAAATAAACATGTTTACAGCCTGGTACCAAACATGTTTTTGGTTTAAATGATCTAGTTTACACTCATGACAACTCTGAGGGGGGTGAATGTTTTTCTCACTCTTGTGTTTAAGTGTATTAAAAGCCTAAAATTCTGTATAATTAATGAGCATCAGACCCACGTGACCACAGAGCTAGCTCCGGGGAAAGGCCTCAGTAGAGCCTCGGTCTGGCCTGGAAACTGTTCCGGGATTTTGAGTCTCTGTGTGTGTGGATTCTTTTTGGATATTTTTTGTGCAATTATTGGACAAAATGACTTGCTGTGGCATTAATTGCACTAATAGAGCGTCCAAGGAGTCTCCACTTCATTTTTTTCAGTAAGAAAAATTATATTTATGTATTTTAGGTCACTGCTGAGCTGAGCTTAGATTTTAACATGTACTGTTTAACCATGAAATTTAAATGTAATAGGGTAAAACCCAGTGCATTTAACATAATGCTGCACTTTAGAAAATGGGTTGAAATATAACATGTTGGTGGAGCTGGGTTCCCACTATCGGCTTGTGGAGCTCTCGGGAGACCCATGTTTTCCACCCGGTTCTCCCCTCCCAGCAGCTCGGCGCATCTCTGCCTGATCGCGGCGCTTGTCTGCTGTGCGGCTGCCGGCTTGTGGAGCTCTCGGGAGACCTCTGTGTTCCACCCGGTTTTACCCAGCGGTCAGCCCGGCGTATCTCTGACTCAGAAGCTCTGGTGTTGTGCACAGTTAACTCCGGTTGTAGCTAGGTTGCTACCTCCATTAGCTTAGCTCCCACCTCCGCATTAGCTTTGGGTTAGCTTCAGGTTAGCTTGTAGCTAGTTCGATCGGGTGTCGTCAGTTGATCCCAGCCTTACAGCCCCACCCTCAGCTCCACCTCTCTTCCTTTTTGTGGAATTGTCTGGGCTTGACGGAACCTGTGACACGGCCAAAATGGCGGTGGTGGCCACCTCCCATTTTAGTACAAAAATGTGTTATTGGAGCTTATGGAAACCCATTGTCCAATACTTATATGTCGATGGTCAGAACCCAAAAGAGCAGGAAGCAAAGACACCAGAGGAGGACCCAATCAGGTGTGTCTGATTGCCCTGCTGACAGTGAGAGGGAGAGACACAGACAAGCGGAAAAGGGAGAATTGATAGAGAGAAATAAGTACTTTTGAAAATAAAGGGAATATTTGTGAAAACGTCAAAACTGAGGAGAGACGAGAATGCCGATCCACAGCGGAGATTAAGAGGACGGGATCGCCGTTTTGGCCGCAGCTGTTTTCACCCAGGTTCCACTTGTGAGTCGGGCCTGTCAGACCTCTGTGTTGATGCTCTTCTGCGAGAACGAGACCCGTTGGGAGAACGTCGGGTTCCGTGAGTAAAAAATTTAGTTTGACTGTGAGAGTGTCGCCGAGCACAGAGCGGTTACATTGGTAGCTTCCTCGTGGCTGATGCGAATGAATAATTAATGAGTACCAATAAGCCACTGAGTTGTATGTTGTTGGGTGTGTGATGTCCCATTTAGAGTTGATTATATAATTTTAGTTTCTCCTTTGAAGAAGAAGGGTGTAGACTGTTTCTGTGTTGCATCCTTTGTAGGGATTCTGCATACATCAAGGTTAACTAATCGATGCAATTGATCTCATATGTCAGGAGAGAGACTTGGCTGACACCGTACTTTCTTGATGTACAAATCCATGACAGTATGATTAAACCTCTCACAGTGGCCATTGCCCTGTGGAAGGCAGGGTGTGTCCCTCTTGAGCACACACAATACACACAGCTGTTGGAACAATGCACTCCTAGTGTAATCATGCAAGGACATCAAACTGGTAAAAGCACTCCTTGACCAGCGTCTTTGCCACAGTATCCACCTTAGGGCCCTGTTAGGTACAGCCTGCGCAAACTCGGAGATTTTGTCCATCATCATCATCATCAGCACCATCTCTCGTCCATCCGGGCTCTTTCCAGCGGTCTATCTCATGAAATTAGACAGGCCTGCTCTGTGGAGGTTTTTCAGGCAAAGCTGAAGACCCACTTTTTGTACCTTTTCTCACGTCCTAAATTTGATTCTTATTTCTATTGGTTTTATTGTAGTTTGTTATGTCCCCCCTGGCGTCTAGGAGCAGGTGAGGGGAGAAAACAGTAAAATAAAAATAAAAATAAAAAGGGAATGAATCCTAGGGATGGTGTCAGTTGGGATGTTAAGTGAGTGAATGGAAGGAGGGGAGATAATGGTAGGTTAAAAAAAGTTTTTTTTACAAAAGGTTGGATAAAAGGTATTCAATAAGTGAACTAAAATAAACTCCCTCTGCTAAAATAGGGAGCAGCCAAACAACTACTAATTTAAATCACTCTCTGGTTTTAAACTAGAGAGAGGAAACCAAGTGGGTAACAACTCCTAATTGAACTAATCAACCACAAAATGGTATTTCTAAGAATAAACCAAAACCATTTCCATATAAAAAGCACAAAAGACCCACAACTATCAAACTAGAAATCTCCTTTAACTAGAAATCCTCAAAGGCAAACAACTAAAGCCAAACTAAACTGAGGATTTGGAGATTCTAACAAAACACAAAAGGGTGGCACAAGACCACAAAGAATCATTAGCAACTGGGGCACTAAACAAAAACCAAAACCCCAGGAATGGAGAGCACAGTTTGGGCAAGGTACAAAACAGAGAAGCTAAGAGACAGTTTTAACACCAAGTCTCCTCTGTCACTGTGTCTCCCTGACTGAAGACCAAGGGAGGCTTAAAAAGACTTCAGGGGCAGCTGATTGATTATTAGTGACAGCCGCTCCTCATCACTCTGCTGCTCTCTGGTGGTGAACGGTAGCACTGGGTTGCGGGGTGTCACCAGGTGTACAGCAGGGCAGAAACCTCGGGTTCGTCACATAGTTCTTTTATGTTTCACATGTTTTAATTGCACCCTGTTTATTCTTTCTAAAGTTTTATTGTTGTTACTATTTTTCCTGTTCCATCTGTATGACAAACTTGAAGTTTAAGTATCTGGCTGCCTTCTGACACATTAGTTGTTTTCAGACTTGAGATTTTAGCCTCCATCACCAACATTTATGTTCTTTCTCCATCCTTGGCAAATGTCTAAATTCCTCCCTATGATGTTTTGTCTTTTTTGTCTTTAGATTTTTATTCTGGCTGTCAAAATGCTTTGCTTTCTCCTCTGCAGGTGTGTGTTGAAATCTCATTGTAGTCGTGCAAACCAGCCAGGTCAATGGCTGTGGAGCTTCAACATGGAGCAGCAGTGTTTGGTCGTGCAAGACCTGAACCCCTCCAACATCAGCAGGGAGGAGAGCAGAATGGTATGTCCATCTAATGTCTTCATGAGCCTGGGCTGGGACGGATTATACCCCCTCTTTTCACCAGATGTGAAAGCGTAGCCAAGCGGTCATGGCATGAACGGGTTTGTAGAGTTAGACATCTTTACTCCGACGTAGCGTGTGTCCTGTCACCAAAGTGGTTAGCTGGTACTCTCTAGTGGTTAATATTCACAGGAGAGAAACAGACTGCCATCTTATCGTCTTCGGGTCCGGAGAGCTGAACACAGACAGTTTATTGCGCAGAAAACATTGAAGTGCTTGCAGACACACACATCTTCATGTGACATCATCACGTAAGCTATCGAACATGCTTTTTGCTTCCTCATAATGAAAACACTCCCACTCAAAACCACCGAGACAACACTAGCCCTGTGGATGTGGCTGACCAGCAAAGCACCATAACAACTAGCAACAAGGGCGTCGCTGTTGTTCACAACACCACTAGAAGAAATTAGGTCTTGGGGGAGCTTCATGGGCAGTGGTCAAGTCAACCGAGTCCAGACTTTCAACCCAGAGTTTGATCATGGGCTCAAAGCGGTTGATCAGGTCTTTACCGAACAGGACCGGAAACAGACACAAACATGGGATGACACACTGACATGCAACCGACAGAAAGGTCAAGGAAAGACACTGAAGACAAGGTCGACGTAGCCTGAGCAGAAGGACTGACCACCATGGCACAAGGGGTGAGTTTCAAGGTACGACCTTGACCAGCCACAGCCAAGCGGAGGTTTACCCAAAGTGAACGAGACATGATAGAAACCTCTGGCCCAGTGTCTGCGATTGCATCGCAGGTTAGGGACCCCTAAAGGGTCACTGGGATGTGAGGTTTCCATTTGGGACTTTTACGGATGATTTTACACAAAAGTGTAAGTCTGTTAGGTTTGTCCAGCGGAAAAGGGTGACTTGACTCTCCGATTTAACTGACCTAGGGTTTAGAGCGGAGTTTTAGTGAGGAAACGCATGCAGCCAGCAACTCACCGTCATAGGGCCTATA